CGTCTCTCTCTCTCTCTGTCTCTCTCTCTCTCTGTCTCTCTCTCTGTCTCTCTCTCTCTCTCACCAAAAGCATTACCAAACTTCACCTTCCAAGGAACGTGAGGCCATGTGGCATGGAGCGCCCTGTGAGAAGCCCCACGTCCAGCGAGGCCAGGCGTGTGACAGGTGCTAGTGCCGGGGTCTCACGGCCAACCACGCTGGGACCGAAGCTCCAGCCCGTCCCGCTGCAGCACAACGGGCAGCACCGTGGGCCCCAGCCTGTCTCTGGGCAGCCATGCTGCCTTCAGGGCCAGAAGAGACCTCCAGGGAGGGCCCAGGACTTGGTCAGCTAGCGGAGGCCCTGTTCCCCACATGCATGCACCAGGGGGACCAGCCACTGTGGGTCCCAGGTGGGCTATCAGACAGATGCAGGGACACAGGGCAGCCCAGAGCTGGCCGACTCCAGAGACAGCCAGGGACCACCCAGACAGCAGGGGGCAGTGCGTGGGGTGGGGCAGCCCAGGGGAGCAGAGGACAAGGCTGACCCCAGCCCCAGGTTGATGTGCCAGGGCCCCGAGGGCAGCTCCAGAGATGATCTGGCCAGATGGGAGGGGAAGGAGGGAAGCAGGGGCATTGGGGGGTCTGTGGAGATGGGGGGCAGGATGAAGCTAAAGGCCCCTCAGGGCAGCCACTTCCAGCTCCTGCCCTCCGAGACGGTGGGTGCTGCCGTGTGTCAGACCAGAGCTTGCAGTCCTTCCTGCCCCCCACGCCCACCCTTTGAGGCGTGTGGGCCAGACAACCCGGTCACCAGGAGCTCCTGCCTGGCTGGTGCAGGGACCCCACGTCGGGGTTGGGAACACTAGCTGCCATGTCCTTGGGGGCACTGGAGCCTGCCCCCCGGCAGGGCTGCCAGCCGGACCTTGCCAGCTGTGTGGCCTTGAACAAGTCGCCGACCTCTCTGTACTCATTCTGGACCGCAGGGGTCTGGCATGGGGCTTGGGCCAGCTGACCAGGCCCCAGCTGGACTGGCCACAAGCAGAACCCGTCTGAGGCTCCCTGAGGTCAAACAAGGCTCCCGAGGTCGCAGCTGTGGTGGAGGGAACCCAGCAATCCCAGCCCGCAGCCCATGGCCACCTGCGGCTGCCGTGTCAGGGGTCTCAGCACGCCAGGAGGGGCCATCTTCCCTGGGCGCACTGGCTTCGCTGGAGGCTCCGTGAGCCTGCAGGGGCTGGGTTTGGGGTCCTCAACATTCCCTGGAGAGGCAGCCCCCAGCGTGCATGCCGCCCAGCCATAGGACCCTTCACACCGGCCTCCATCTCCCTAGGAGCCCCAGGGCCCACTGTGCCCTCCCAAGGCCATCCAGAGAGGAGATTGCAGCTGCAGTCTTTTTACTGAGTGGAAAGAGGGGCCCAGCGGACATCCCACAGGGCAGGGTGGGGCAGGGTGGCCCGAGGTGGCTCCTGGGGGCTGCGGTCTCCAGGGCTTGAGGCGGCGAGTCCTGCAGCTCCGGCCGCAGCCTGCACAGGAAAGGCATGGGTTCCCACTCACGCCACAGACGCCCCAGCGACCCACGAGCAGACACCGCCCACGCGGCTATCACTCCCAGGCCAGGGGAGCTCATTCTACCACCGAAACGTCTATGGAGGTGGGGACACCCCAGCGGTGCTCTGGCGCCATCGCTGTCCCCCGTCCAGGCCCAGACACACACTCCAGCCACCCGGGAAAGGGCAGCGTGTGACCCGCAGACCGTGACAAAACCGCAACCTCCATGGTCACCCAAGCGGCATCCAGATGGGGCTCTGGGCCTCGAGGAGGCGCGAGGCAGGAAGACGGGACGTCCCCAGGAGATGGGGCACTGCCCAGTCCCCACCCCATGCTTCCAAACTGCCAGTGAGTGGTGTGTGTCTGGCGGCAGCAGGGGTCAGGCCATGAAAAGGTCAAAGGGCCTGTGCCTGATGCCCCGCAGCTACGGCCAGAGCCACGGCTGGTCCACCCGGAGCAGGCAGGCCAGGCCAATGGCGCCCCACTTCTCGGACTCCGGCACTCGCTATGTGTGGGCTCAGGTAGGTGCCCGCATTCTGGGCCAGGTTTCTGGCGTGTGGCTTGGGGAGAGGTCTCCCCAAGACCCCACTGGCATCCGATTCCGCCGACTTCTGGAGCCCGAGCCCTGTGGTGGCAGGAGCCCTAGCAATTCCCAGATGTGACCACATCCCGGGAGTGAGCCCAGGAGCTGTGGGAACACAGGGCACATGGGGACAGTGGACGGAAGTATCCCCCAAAACCACACAACCACCAAACCTCTGAATACACCCTTACTTAGAAACAGGGTCTTGGCAGGTACCCTGACTTGGGGCTCCTGAGCCCACCCAGCTCTGGGGCAGCCATAATCCAGGGACCGTGTTCCCATCAGAAGAGGCCGAAGGCAAACACCCAGGGCAGAGGTGGCGTGCACCCAGGAGCCCAGGGGCCGAGAGGCTGCAGAGCCGGGAGGGTGTGCTTCACCTCTGCAGGACCTTCAGGGGACTAGTCCTGCGACCTTTGCTAGCCCTGCCCTACAGGACCCAGAGGGTAGCTTCTGCTGCTGCGCCCCCAGTGCCGCAAGTGCGGGATGCCACCTTCCAGCTGAGACCGGACAGGGGCCGGGTGCGGCCCCACACCTGCAGAGCGCAGGCTGCGAGAGGAGGGAGAAAGATGGAGGGTGGAAGGCCTGGAGGACAGAGCGATGGCCCAGGCTCACCTGGGAAGAACCATCAGGCTGCCTCCTTGCCCTGCGGGGCACACGCGTCTGCGGAAAGCAAGACAAGTTGGTGAGCCGGGATCGGCCACCTGCGCTGGGCTTGCACGCAACCCTGCACAGCCCTGTCGCACAGCCCCAGCAGCCCCCAAAAGACCCTGCTCCCACACTGCCTGAAACCTCTCCCCTAGTCTGGGCTCAAGGAAGGCTGGAGGGGCCTCCGGATCACCCCTGGGAGACAGGACGCAGGCCTGCGCAGTCCTGGGTCTCCAGCCACAAGTGAGGAGGACCTGGGGAAGGGCTTGGTGGGCGGGGCTAGGAGGGTCCTGGGTGGGGCGGGGCTGGGGGCGGAGCTGAGGGTCCTGGAGGGACAGATGACCTTGGCCTGAGTACCTGACTTGGGCAGCATGACCATCATGTCCTCAGGAAGCCCCACGGTCGGGTAGAAGTCCTTGAAGGCCTTCACAGCCTGGGGGCTTGTGTCCGGGGACCGGCCTAGGGCAGAGCAGGGACGCTGTGAACCCAGCAGCTCACAGGGCAGGGGCAGGGCAAGGGGGCTCTCCGGGCCCCTCTCCCTCCCTAAGGGCTGCCACCCCACCTGGGCAGGCTGCGCCCCGCACGGAAGCGCCTGGCTGGCTGAGGGGCTGGCGGGCTCACTAGCACCTCCCAGGTGGAGGGACCTGGCCTTTCTCCTGGGCCCTGTCCCTGGACCCCTCTCCCTCTGAGCTCCTTTGCCTGCAGTTCTGCATGTCAGGCAGCCTTCGCCCTGTCTGCCCCACCATACGGAGACCCTGGAAGTTAGAGGATAGTCTTGGGCCAGCTCAGGGTCCCACGTGGCAAGGCCACGCAGCAAGGGGCAGGTGCCCACTCCCAAGAGGCTGGGGAGAGGGAGAGCCGCACCCTGAGTGTCTGGCCTTTAGGGGTGCTTCCCTGTCTAAAGCACTGTGGGGTCTGGAAACCCCAACCCCCTGGTCCTTGCCAGTCCCAAACTTGGGGGGGCGGGCCAGGGCAGGGGCAGCCGGGGAGATGGGAGCAGGGACAGAGACCCACTGTAAAGCTGGACCAGGGTGCTGAGGGCCCCACGCAGCGTCTTGTGGATGTACACCACGGCGTAGGAGCTGTAGTCTGTGTCCACGACACGCACGTCCAGGTAGCCCAGGGCTGCAGGGGTAGAGTGCACAGGCCTGGCTCCGCCCCACCCCCACCTGCCCTGCTGCTGGGCTGTGAGCCTGGCTGGGCAGGAGGGGGGACAACAGAGGTCTCGCAGCCCTGAAGGCACGGGCAGGACTTACCTGGGGCTCTGAAGTGGCCCTCAGAGCCCACCTTCAGGTACTCGGCGTCCACCTTCTTACAGCTGTCGGCCCTGAGGACACACCATCTGGGTCACACTCCCCTGGCCCCCCAATCCACCCACCAGCCCAGGCAGCTCACCCAGGGAACTCCATGTGGATGCCAAGGTTGCCCTCCACAGTGGCCTCGATGGTGCTGCTGGCCATCAGCAGGTGGTCTTTCTTGTCCTCAAAGACCTTGCAGTCTGACACCATGGCGACCACGTACCAGAGGCCTGAGAACTGCAGGGCAGGGTGAGCGGCCTGGGCCGGCAGCTGGACCTCCCCCAGGGCCGAGAAGTGGGCCCCCGACAGCGACTGCCTCCTGAGTCTGGGCCCAGGCTTCGCGCTGGCCTTGGGAGGCCCCGCCCCACTGCGAGCCTTGGCCCTCTGGCGTGGCGTGGGCTGCAGTGGCCCACACAGGCCTGTCTCACGTTCACTGGGCCCAGTCCCAGAGCAGCTCTCCGGGCTGCTGTCCCTGTCTCTGTCCGACAGTGGCCAGTCCCCGGCCACCCACAGCACAGCCCCGAGCCTTGGTACCTTCTCGGCATCGAAGTCGGGCTGCACCAGAACCTCGGCCCGAACCGCAGACACCCAGAGCAGCGCCAGGCCCAGACTCAGCAGGACGGGCCACATGGCCACACACCTCCAGCCCTATGTCCGAGTCCCCAGCCCGTGCCACTTTATAGCTGACTGTCCTGGGCTCACAGAGGCAGGCTGGGAGCAGAGGGCATTCAAGCCCTTTGTCCATTGTTGGACACAATCGCTCGTGTGTCCCCAGCAGCCCCAGGGGTCACTTCCTGCAGGGCTCCAGACAGTCACCAACAGGCTGTCACCGACACCTCAGCTGAGGATTTGTCTCCTAATCGCCAGGCCCACCAGCAGTCCCCGCCTGCCAGACTCCTGCCCCACCCCCCCACCTTAGGCCTGGCCAGGTGGGCCCAGGCCCTTGGAGGTGGGCCCAGGCCCTTGGGGGTGGGCCCAGGCCCTTGGGGGTGGCCAGGAACCAGCCAGCCTCATGCTGCCCTGGCCAATGGCCCCAATCTGAGCCGGGCCCCCTGAGACCCTCCCTCCCTTCCATCCCCAAAGGCTGGGCTTCCAGACCTCGCCCAGCAGAGCCTGGGCCAGGGCACCTCTGAGAGCACCCGCGCTCCCCGGTGGCCGCCAGCAAGCATGTCTGGGACAGGAGGTGGCCAGGCACTAGAGCTGCCAGCACTAGGGCAGATTATGGTGTCGCCGCCACCTTATCACCGGTCGTAAGTGTGCCAGTGGGAGTGATGCCAGGGGCACCGGGCTGGGGCGGGCGGGCCGGGAGGCCTCTCCAGGTGCCCTCTGGGCTGGCAGCAATGTTGGCCTCAGGCACAGCCCCGGTCCCCCTGGTCGGAGCAGGGTCCTGCTGGGGGCAGCACTGCAAGCCCTCCAGAGTGGGAGAAGAGACGGAGAGAGTCAGACCCTCCGCCCCAGTGGGGAGGGGAGCACTGGGCTACTGCTTGCCGCCCCTGCTGACCTTCTGGAGGTGCCGGTCCCCACCTGGGTGTCTGCCAAGCGTGCCCAGCCAGAAGCAGCTGGAGCCTCCTAAGACGGGTCACAGGCACAAGGTGCACACAGGGCTGAGAGCCGGGAGCTGAAAAGAACCCTCAGCTTTTGATTAGAAAAAAGGCCACCCGGTCAAACAGAAACTAGAGGGACAAGGACAGCGCTGGACGGGGCTAAGTGCCACGCTGGGTGTCGTCCCATGCTTCTGCACGGCTCAGAGCCTGGCAGCTTGAACAGCGCTCTGGGCTGCGCTCTGTGTCCCCAGTCCTGACAGGGAGAGCGGGAGGGAAAGGATGGGATGGCGCCCCATGTGGGGTGGTCCTCTCTCTCAGCACACACACCCTCGGGCAATTAAAAAACAAAAAAGCAGGGCCAGCAGATGGTGTAATGGTTACGTCACTGGACTCCCATGTAATCGACTGCAGTTCAAGTCCCGGACTTGGCAGCTTAAAATTTATGCTGAAAAAAAGCGGGGGAGGCCCTGCAGGTGGCTTGGTGGTTAAGGGTGCTGGACTCTCAAATGGCCAACTGCGGTTCGAGTCCCGGACCTTACAGCTTGCTTTCTCACTTCCTTCCTCCCTCTCTCTCATTAAATTAAAATAAATAAATAAAAGTTAAAGTAATTAAAAAAAAAAAAAAAAACCTTATGCTGGGCACATGTGCGTCACGGCCTGA